GATGAGAATATATGAAATTAAGCGTGGTAACATATCAAATAGATACATTATTTAATTCTAAAATTATGTACCAATCTATCAATAATTAGATAATAATCCTAATCCTATCATGTTTCTTTCTGTCACTAGAAAATACTGGTGATAATATCATACCGTTTACAGTCACATGAATAGATATTATAATTATTAATGAAGGCTCGTATAAATTAAACAAAATTAAACAATCATATATAGTAGGCCAACTAAACGAGCAAATAAATAAGATGTAAAAAATTTTTTTATTAATAGTTTAAATCATTAAATTAACATTCCGTTACAGAATCGATATAAATTGTAAACGTTTCGACTGCACTACAGTCTTATCAATACATAAAAATTAAATATTAAAATATAAAGTTAGATGTTAAAAATACAAAGTTAGTTAAATATTAAAATATAAAATTGAAACGATTCTTCGCTGTTGACCAATAGATATGCAAGGCGATTGGTCTGAGATGCCAAGTTATGCGATATTTGAGCATGCTACGGATATAATACGCGAATTAAATCAATGTCAGAAAAATTAAAAATCTTTCAACTTACATTATCGTTTTAACAAGTCCTTTTCCCGATATTTCAAGTGTGTGTTGCGAAGTCTGAATACCAAATGTCAAAATAGAGAGCCTAATAATAACAATATAACAGATACTAATAATACTAATACTAACATTAAATATTTTGTCATACCATATATAGAATCAATATCTGAGAAAGTTGCTTCAGCAATAAGAAGACCTGACGTAGTGGTAGGATATCGTTGCATTAAAAAATTAAATGACTTCATAAGAGTTCAAAAGGACAAAAATAATTGCCCCACGAATTCTAACGTTATTTACAAATTGAATTGCAACGATTGTGACGCCACATATGTCGGACAGACAAAAAGACAGTTAGGAACGAGACTTAAAGAACATAAAAATAATATTAAATTAGACTCTGCTAGACATTCGGTTATCACGGAACACATTCTAAACGAACAACATACATTTGACTGGGACAATATTAAAATTATGGATCATGAAAAGAATTACCAAAAAGACTAATATCTGAAATGATCCACATTAAAGAACAGAAAAATGGAATTAATTTAAATACAGACACCGAATTGTTAGACAGTAGTTATTTTGACATACTTAAAAAATTTGCTGAATCATAATTTAGAAAAAACATTGGTAATAAATAAATACATCACGCTCTCTATTTTGACATTTGGTATTCAGACTTCGCAACACACACTTGAAATATCGGGGAAAAGGACTTGTTAAAACGATAATGTAAGTTGAAAGATTTTTTAATTTTTTCTGACATTGATTTAATTCGCGTATTATATCCGTAGCATGCTCAAATATCGCATAACTTGGCATCTCAGACCAATCGCCTTGCATATCTATTGGTCAACAGCGAAGAATCGTTTCAATTTTATATTTTAATATTTAACTAACTTTGTATTTTAACATCTAACTTTATATTTTAATATTTAATTTTTATGTATTGATAAAGACTGTAGTGCAGTCGAAACGTTTACAATTTATATCGATTCTGTAACGGAATGTTAATTTAATGATTTAACTATTAATAAAAAAAATTTTTTACATCTTATTTATTTGCTCGTTTAGTTGGCCTACTATATATGATTGTTTAATTTTGTTTAATAGATTTATGTTTTTAACCATCAAACTTTTCGTAAGATAAAATTAAAAAGAAGTTTTATTGAGAAATTTAACATATATTATGTATTGTATATCAAATTATAATACTTGTCTATTTTTTCTTAATTTCTAAATAAGGCAATTATTTTTATTTTTATTTTTAAATAAATTTTTTCTTTTAAATTAAAAAAAAATTCAATAAAAAATGTATTTTAGTAAAATATTATAATAAAAAAATTAAGTTTACTATTATTTTTATGCCTGTTTCATATTACCACTTTACTTTCAAAGATTCTTGACATACATTTTGCAATATGTAAACAAATTTTTTGACTCTTTTCTTTAACAGTTTTTTCTTTTTTATTACTAATAATACAACGTTAAGAGATATATTTAATAACACTACTGACAATGCAATAATTATATTTTAAAGTATTTTGTTTATCTAAAGTAAAAAATGACTCATATTTTTCTAATTTTTTTCCTCTACTTTGTAATTATTTCAAGTTTAAAAATTTATGTTGCTTTAGAAGTAAAAATAATTTTTTGTATCAAACTAAAAGGAAATAATAATTAAATTGTAGAATGTATAGGATTGTAGTATATAAAATGTAACTATATATAAAAGATTTATATATATTATTAAAAGTGAATTCTACACACATCAAAATAATAAAAAACATCTCTGTCATTTTTTATTGCATGTAATAATCTACATGCAGTATAAATATGTATAAATTCTCAAAGAAGATGTTTTAAACAATATCGTTTTTTCAAATTATTGTCTTTTGCAATCATAAAGAATTAATTATCGATAAACAATTTTTTGATATCTCATTTCAGTTTACAAAGTAATGACTTTAACCAAATATGTAAATACAATCGTACACACACAATATACGTATACACATACACAACATATTTACATACGAATTCATGTATAGACACGGCTGTGTGTATATGTATTAACAAGACGTCACATTTTTTTATTTCATATATATATATAATTTTTTAAACACATCAGAATAAAATTACATAAATGCATGAGCATGACGCACCACTTCCGAGTATAATTAAAATTGGTGTTAAATAATACGACGAAGCTGTTAACGCGACAAACACAATCAGCAACTTAACGAAGATCTTTGACTTAGCATTATAAGTGATAACTGCCTTCATCTCTTCGGTAGTTTTATAACACATCTTATCAAAATCTTTCATAGCTTCCGCTATGACTTCACCTAGTTGACAATTGTATAATCGTAACATACTCATTCGTACAAATATCTGTGAGAATGCCATGTTCTCTGTTAAGTTTATAATCACATGTTCGAGATCAGTGATGAATAGCAACAAATCCAGATACTCTAGCATCATGAGAAAACTGAAGTAACCAAAGGTAATGAAAAATAACAAATTGTTATTCCGAAAAGGCCAAAGACCCAACGTCGACATTAATTGTTTGTTCCAAGACAGCACCTCAGATGCGCGATCCAAGTCTTGTTGAGTAATCTATAAAACAAAATTAATTTTTTAAACATAAACTTAGAATTAAACAGGCAATAAGATTAATTTTTTGTAATTAATTTCCAAATCATATTTTATTTTTTATGGCATATTGCAATATTTAAAAAAATTTGTATACAACTCACCTGTGTCATTCTTTACACTGTTCTTTCTTTGAATGTTTATCTGAGACTGTATCAAATATACCTAGAGGATAATCTCTGCTCTAATGCTGTCCATAGAATCGGAAAATAAATGATTTCGAAACAGACAATAATTGCACTCGAAATTGGTGTATGAATTACATATACGCGTGTTACTCCATGCACCTGTGTTTTCAATTTCAGAATCGTAAGATTATATATGATTTAACAAATCTCTGATATAATTATTACACATATCATATAATTGATTAGAAAAATTGCAAACGCAAACAATTTAAGCATGCTTTATGAACTTCCGTTGTAACAATAATAGCATGCAATATTATTCTACTTTTAGATCAAGACAAAGATTTTTAAGAGAATTATCGATTGTAATAAAGGAAAAATTATATTATTTCTTAAATTATATATTTTATTTATTTATCTAATAGACATTTCTATATAAAAATATTCCAAAATTACCAAAAAATGTACAAATAAATGTATTTTATTTAAAATGTATTTAAAAATTTTAACGTAACATTTAAAATATAATATATAAAAATAAAAATAATTTTTATATGTGACGTTTTTTTAAATTTAATTAATTAAAATTTGTAGAATATTGAAAAATACGAAACATTTATTATTTTGTGTATTAGAGCAGTGAGTTTAAAAAAATAAAATATTTCTTTTTAAAATTTGGAAACCAAAATAATTTGTATAAGATTAATTTAAAATATTAACACTATACGCTTCTTTATCTGAGCTATGTTATATAGCTTGTATACTCTTATTAATATTTGTAAAATAGATTATTTTTAGATATTGATATTTTATCTTTTTATTACGGTGGATCCGCGTAATTGCTCATCACGAAATAACGCTCAAAATCGCTTCTACATATGCACTATAGATACACGTGAGTGACAGTAGAGGTACAACTGTACAACCACGCGTATCTGTCTCTCGGCAATACTGAAAAATGCGAATTAACGAAAGGATATCGTCATGGCTTTGAATTTCACTATTTGGAAGTGAAGTGGGGACAACTTGTTTTTATATTATATCGCTATATCATTCAAACTGCACACTGTTAAAAAAAGTTTTAGTATATTATAAATATTCAATGTGCAAGTAATAGCTTTTTTTAGAAGCAATACATTTTCTAAGATGATCAATAAGTGATTGTAATATTGTTATAGTAGTTTTATATATTTATATGTAGAAAAGAAGAAAAATGATAATATATGGATTATCTTTTCCTAAACAAAATACTTTATTTTTAATGTAATATTGCATGTATTATATTAGTATTATTAAGTATATAAGCAGCTTTATTTAATAAATTCATATAACATATGTATATACATACATGTACGTGTATTTAGATCAGACTGCTGACTTTCTAAAATATTGCACAAATATATGTTTATATATTTTTAATTTTGATTACACGTAACAAAAAAATAACTATGCCATTATTAAATATTGTTTAGACTTTTCTATTTAGACTTTTAAATTTAGACTTTTTTAATTGAAGCAACCTACTTTAATTGAAAAAGTTAATAAAGAAGTAAAAAGTCAATAAAATGACCAATGAAATGTCTAGTTTTACCACATGACACTTAATATCAAACGTCTGGCGATTGGCCGAGATGTATATTTGATGTGTATATAAGACTACCGATTTGTATTACGACGCGTCGCATGCTTTAATTGTGGCTTATTGTGAAGTGTATAGAATAGTCGATCGTCTTATTCTCCATAAAATCTGCTTCAAATAATACATGTCATTCTATTTGAGAATGCATTTGAAGTAAATCTAATTGTATTATTTTTGTACACGTTGGAATCACATCGTCTAAAAATGTGGATCTTCATTATATAAAGCATCACCTCTTTCCTGAGTGAGTATTTCTAATGCTTCTAAATTTTATTCGCACAGTAAGTGTGTGCACACGATACATCTCGTGTTATATAAGCTGGTAATTTTAGAGCAAACTTTCAAAGTCGAATGTACACATATGTTAGTTGAATGATACGACGTCGTTGCAATTTAAATTTTCTCTTATCTATTATAAATATATATTAATAAGATTACAAGTAATTAACATATGTATATTTTTATGTATGAAATTTATTTTACAATTAAATTTCTACATCTAATGAAAAATGATTGATCGAATCGACATCGACCGATTCGACATCGATTCGACGAATTTGACATCGATTCGACCATTATTTCTCACTGAGTATAAAAATAAAAAAATAATATTAACTAATTGAATTAAGGGGAATAAAATATACATTAAAATTTAATTCTTTTACATACTGTTTTAATATTAAAATGTTTTATCCAAGTGAGAAATCACTAGTTAAAAAAATGTTGATTCGACGTCTTTTTATAACTAGTGATTTCTCACTGGGATATTCAATTATGTGTATATTATTTTTCTTTAATAATATATAATAATTGTATTTTACATAAACAGTTGTGAATGTATTGTAATTGTGTTATACACTAATTGTGTATAACTTATGTATATAAATACTTTAATTGTGTTATCACACTTTTTATCAAAAGAACATAACAAGAAAAAAGCAATGTAAATTATGTATTTAAATAATACTTATTTAAATACACAACGATTTTTAAACAAGTACGTGAATTTTACGCTCTTTTAGAAAAGTAATTATCATATAATAAAACATAATATAATAAAAGTAATTATAATAACTATTTATTTCATATGTATTGTGACGTAGTCGTTTCGACGCACGTGCACTTTCTATCGCAGGACGAAAGCCGAGCGGTCGCGCCAAGAGAGCGAACGAGAGAGAGAGCGAGAGAGTTGTAAATTATGTACGTAATAAACATTCGAGAATTAAAATTAAAATATAAAATATATGATAAAACATAAAATTAAAATATAGCTGTTTAATGTAATATACTGTATAGCATCATTTATACCTGCATTATTTTTAATGAAAATTATTGAATTGTATTTCTCAAATTTGTATTAATATTCTACTATCAGTTTACTATCCTAACAATAAATAATTTGCTATCATAATTAAACTTGATAGCAAAACTGAGTTTAATGTATGAGTCGATACAATTACTTTTACTTCTTACTGTTTTAACAAATCTGCTTATAAATGCTAAATTTATGTTGCATATACATATCATTTCGTTTAATTTACCGAATATAATTATGCACTCATAGCAAAGTTATATTATTCTTTGATAATAAAATCTCAAAAATTGCGATGCATGCATACAACAATTATTGCAATCAATGCATATAGAATATATTGATTAATTATGCAATACATAAAAATTTAATATTTAAATCTAACAGAAAATACGAACAAAAAACTATAATTTTCTACAAGAATTTGTAATCAAATAGCTACGTTATGATCAAATAACTTTCATTAGACTCGCGCAAGGCTTCATACTCCACACATCCATCATGCTGCGCGGCTCGCGCGAGACTGATTCTCATGCAAGGTATCGCGAGCGCGAAACCGAGGTCACGTGACCAGTAGACTCACTGGTCATGTGACCACTAGTCATGTGACCATCGGCCCCGCGTTCGGTGTATCCCGCACGAGAATCAGGCGCGCGTAAGCCGCGCAGCGTGATAGATGTACTATGGGGTGTATTAATTTGATGAAAGGGATAGAAAAAAAGAGTTGCTTTCATCGGGCCCCGATTCATTATTGACTGTAAAGTTGAATGTCGCACGAGCCGTTTAGCATAGAGAACGCGTACAGACGCACGAATCTAATGGAATAAGCGCAGATATTTTGATCGAAAGATTCTTGTAGAAAATAATATTTTTTGTTTTCTGTTAAAACTTTATTGAATTTTTATGAATCACGTAAATGATAAATATATTTATGCATGCATTGCAATAATAATTTTATATATATGCGTTATAATTTTTAAGGTTTTATTATCAAAGAATTATATAACTTCGCTTTCCATACGTAATTATATTCGATTAAATTAAACAAAATGAGATAAAATATATACATTTATAAATACATATATACAACATAGTTCTCAAACAATACAATAGAAATTCGGTAAATTAAATAATAGAAATTCAATAAATTAAAATTATATACATAATGGAAATTCGGGAATTAAAATTATGTACATGATAGAAATTCGGCGAATTAAAATTATGGTCATAGCATCATGTAACTGTTATTGCGAAAATTAACAATTTGATAGTTATAAAATAAATAGAAGTGATATCAAAAGAGCGTGTGAAGCGCGCGCTTGTGTTGTCTAGTATTGTAAAATTCTAATAAAAGTAACAAGTAATTGAAAAAATGTTTAAATAATTTCCCCGATTAATCGATTAATTAAAATCGATTAATCGTTTAGTTGAGTATTAATCGTTTCTTTCGCTGTTACAATCGGTTAATCGATTTAGAATTAATCAATTAATTGGTTACAATCACGAGCCCTATTATTAATATAGTTAACACATAGGAATATTAAACTTAAAAAAATAAGATTACTAATTAAGTCAATTAAATATTTAAGTCCAATAACATACGCGATGCATGTCAAAATCAATGTAAATAAATGTAGTGTATAAGACTATTATAGATATACAAAATCTTCTATCGATTCAGATCGATTATAAGGCATAGATCGTCGAATAAAGCGGAAAAACATCTGGTCTTTCGATAAAATATAATAATTTTATCGAAACCCGAACAACCGTATCAAACGTACTAAAACCACTTGAGAGCAAACAGTTGTCACGTTTATTAAAGTATTAAATATCAAAATGTAATGTCGTTTTCGACAAAATTTAGAATCAACATTTTTTATAAAAGTACTATTAGCTATACTATTAATGAGCTTTACAAACTATATTATATAAAAATAAATAATTTTTTACAATATTATTATTTAATATTTAATTTAAAAATCTCTCCTCCAATTTTAAAGTCGACCAGACTGGCAATAATTTATTTAAAAAATTAGTTAAATTACAACGTTTCGGCTGTCATTGCAGCCCTTTTCAAGTAATCTATGAACAATTATATACATATAAATATACTCTTAATGCGCTTAATCATAGAAATAATTATAAATTTACAAAAATATATATATGTTTACGTACCAGATTAATACAATAAATCAAATTTACAGCAAACCCCCGACAAAATTAACCATTGTTTTGATGAACAATGTATAACTGACAGAAGTGAGCACGAAAAAATAGATGTTGACTGTTAGCAGAAAACTTAGTCACTAACGCGTTGAGAAAATAGAAAACCAGAGTACTGTGTCTTTCGCAATTTTTAAAACGTCAATACAAAGTCAAATAAATAAATAAATAAATAAATAAATATGTAACATATGACAATATAATATATTAAATAGCTTCAAGAACGCGATCATAAATCCCACTGAAATTCTCCGTATCTTTTTGTAAATTAATGCTCTTTCTTTGGTTTTTTATATAGAACATTTCTGCTATTTCTCTTTTTCTTGTTTGTTTTTCTTGATGCAGAATCACAGGAGAATCCCAACGGAACTCATGATCGTTGCAAGTCCGATGCAAACTAACAACTGAGTGTGATGTCGTGTCTTTTTTGAACAATAACAATAAACCTCGATCTCACATTAAGGATAGTTGGTCCTTTGTTGAAATTATTAAGGATAAAAACATTGATGACGATCATGTCATGATTTCGTTGGATGTGACTTCGCTTTTTACTAACACACCGTGGGAATTAATAAAAGCAGCAATAGAAAATCGTTGGGATGATATCTCACAATTTACTTCATTTAACATGGCACAGTTTTTACATGCTATTGACACGGTTATGCGCTCGACTAGTTTTGTTTTTGATGGAAAATTTTACGAGCAGGTTTTTGGTTCGCCTATGGGGTCTCCTTTGTCTCCAATTTTGTCTGATATGGTTATGGACGATTTGGAATCATATTGTTTGCGTCAATTGGATTTTGAGCCCTATTGTTATTTCAGATATGTTGATGACATTTTTTCAATTATTCCGAAATGTAAAGTGGAGGATATGCTTACGATTTTTAATAGCTTTCACACTCGACTAAGGTTTACGTTTGAATTGGAGAACAATTGTTCCTTAAGTTTTTTAGACACAAACGTTATACGAATTAATGGCAAATTGACGACTGACTGGTTCCGTAAGCCTACGTTTTCAGGCCGTTATATAAATTTTCTTTCGAACCATCCGATGCGTTATAAAATTAGTGTGATCACAAGCCTCGTGGACAGGGCTATTTTACTCGCGAACCCTATGTTTCACGAGAAAAACATCATCTTAGTCAAACGAATTCTTCGTAACAATTGTTACCCGTCAACAGTCATAAACAAAATTATTAACAGGAGACTTAGGGCAATTAAATTTGGCGGTAATTTTGGTGCGTCTAATCGAGATAAATTTGATACACGAAATGCTATAGCGTTGCCGTATATTAGAGATTTGAGCGAAAATATTACTCGTTGCATAAACAAAAATGGAATCGGTGTATTATATACCGTTCCTAAAAAATTAGACACATTGATAAAAAGAGGAAAAGATAGTATTGACAACTTAAAAAGAACCGATGTCGTTTATAAGATCGAATGCGCGAACTGTGACTCTACATATATTGGACAAACAAAGCGACATTTAGAAACACGTATTAAGGAACATAAAAATAACATCAAAAAAGACACGACATCACACTCAGTTGTTAGTTTGCATCGGACTTGCAACGATCATGAGTTCCGTTGGGATTCTCCTGTGATTCTGCATCAAGAAAAACAAACAAGAAAAAGAGAAATAGCAGAAATGTTCTATATAAAAAACCAAAGAAAGAGCATTAATTTACAAAAAGATACGGAGAATTTCAGTGGGATTTATGATCGCGTTCTTGAAGCTATTTAATATATTATATTGTCATATGTTACATATTTATTTATTTATTTATTTATTTATTTGACTTTGTATTGACGTTTTAAAAATTGCGAAAGACACAGTACTCTGGTTTTCTATTTTCTCAACGCGTTAGTGACTAAGTTTTCTGCTAACAGTCAACATCTATTTTTTCGTGCTCACTTCTGTCAGTTATACATTGTTCATCAAAACAATGGTTAATTTTGTCGGGGGTTTGCTGTAAATTTGATTTATTGTATTAATCTGGTACGTAAACATATATATATTTTTGTAAATTTATAATTATTTCTATGATTAAGCGCATTAAGAGTATATTTATATGTATATAATTGTTCATAGATTACTTGAAAAGGGCTGCAATGACAGCCGAAACGTTGTAATTTAACTAATTTTTTAAATAAATTATTGCCAGTCTGGTCGACTTTAAAATTGGAGGAGAGATTTTTATTATTTATTACTGGCGACTCTTAAGGATTATCATTTATTTAATTTAAAGATAAATTTATGTTAATAAAATCCTAACTGCTAAAATTTGCTTAGCGTAACTTGCTAAAATGTTGAAGAAAAAGTTGTAATAAATTATAATTTCTTTCAAGAATAATTACAAATTAATTATTTCCAAATAATAATAATAAATAGTTTACAAATATCTTACAAATATATCTTTAAAAAACAATGTTATTTGAGTGCGCATACATGCATAACATATCGCACATTCTTTTTCTTCCGTATAAATTGAAAGCGTACATCAGACTAACTGCAAATATATCTTACTAACTTCGAAGTAAACTTTTCCGTTAAATTAACGTTCATATGAAATGAATAGATAAAATCAATTTGCTTGCATAATTAATAAGCCGGTCGCGCACATCTTTTCTTTCTTCTTGCCTTCCTAAATAAGAGAGAAAACAAGAATCATATAAATATTCATCCCAAATATTGCAGACGAACTATAATCATATAATGTTCTCTTTTTTTGCCTGTTACTCTACTAACTATTCTAACTATTCTGACATGTAATAGCACCGTTCTCTTTTATTATTGCCTTACAGTCATTCACCAAATATTATTTTTCCGAAAAAGATAAAATAAGATAAGATAAAAAAAAATATTTCTGTATACAGCCCATACTATAGAACTGTTATATTATAAAAGTATGCGACATCCAAATATTAATATATTCCGTGCAGAATTTAGCTAATAATTAGTATTATAATAAATACTTATAAATATATACTGAATAGAGAGATTACAATATATGTATGTATATCTATCAAATAATTATATTTTAAAGAAAAGTTCTAATTACTAATAATACTTATATTTTGTAGTTTCTTTTCTACTTAATGATAAATTATAAATAAATAAATATAAATATACATATTGTCTTCTCATGCATTGTGCAAGTGAATAAAGATGAGATATAAGTACTACAATGTAAATAAGAAAATACGTTTGAAGACGGCTATATATCAGACAAAATGTATACAAGATGAAAATGTCAACTCGTATCTACCAAGATTAGTGATAGAGAGAAACTTTATTCAAGTGGTGATTTTTTATGGAGAGACAATAAACCCCGTGCAAATTTTTAATTTTTAATTAAATCTTTTCCCCTTCTGAAAAAAATTAAGCAATTGTATTTTTTTTAACATTTTGCTGATCTTTAAATGTCTGAAGTGAATTTGTTTCAGACTTTGTCATTAAAAATATATACCTATATTATATATTTTTGAAAATATATACTTATATTATATATTTTTGAAAATATAAGTAATCGACTTTATTGTAATTTGCTTTTGTATATATCACTATACAAAACACGATAAAAATACATTAATAAAAGAAGGAAGCAGTACATTTTGATAGAATTACATGCGTGTTCTTAGGTGCTTAATCATTAATAATCGATTAAACATATTGAATCTGTTCATTAATGTCCGTGTTCACATAATCTTACCTATATTCAAAAATAAAAAATTTTTCTGGAAGTATTTTTAAATATTTTATATTTCTAACAATAAAAAGAGCATGAAGCAGAAAATATGAACTGCTTGTACATAAATCACGTCATCTATGTTATTCAATATATATAATAAAATTTTGTATTTAAATTAAATATACAAACTCTTTTCTTTGCATTCAAAAATTCGTGTAGTTGCATGTCGAATTAAGTTATTTAAGAATTGGTAAAGATAGATGAAAAATCCCTGTTCTATACAATGTAACAATCATATTGAAGGAAAAGAGGTAGCGTGCACAAACAAAAAAGATCAACATAGAGGCATCAATAACACACAGTACGAGAAACTGAATATAATCAAGAATAAAAATGCAATTTTTCTTAAAGTATTAGCCGTATTTCAGAAAGTGGAAGAGTCCACAATCCTAGCGAGAAATGATTGGTCGAATCGATATCGATTCGACGTCGATTCGATCAATTTGGCATTGATTCAAAGACAAATCGACGTCGATTCGATCATTATTTCTCGCTCGGATGTAATTCAAAGTGCATGTAAGTTCAAAACTTTTATATACTATAATATACTATAATATATTATAAATCAATTATATATCATTATGAAAAATCAAAGTAATCGATAAGGTACAACTTTTTCGAACATTTGGTTCATTTAATAGAATAATTTTTTAAAAGGTTAATTTTTGAATTTATAACTATTTTTTAATTTACAAATTAATCAATGGAATAGATCTAACTTTTATTCATAAATTTTGATTGTATTTATAAAAAAATGTTTAAAATAAAAGTTACTTAATTTTTAATATAAAGAAGATTATTTATGTTACTATTATGATTATGTTTTTATAAATATTCGAAGTTTCAAAGTTCTTCCTTTTCTTTCTTTTCTCCTTCTCCTTTTCTCCTCCCGAGAAGGAAAATAAAATTCATATTTAAAAAGTTTTTTTTAATAAGAAAATTATCCTCTAAATTATATGTATATTTATAGTAGTTTTTGAGATATCAATTTATAACATTTTGTTCAATTTAACCTCTTGTATATAGAAATACAATTTTATAAAAGTTGCTATAACTATAAATTATCTTTTAATTTTATAAAAAGTTGCTATAACTATAAATTATCTTTCGAAGTTTCAAAGTTCTTCCTTTTCTTTCTTTTCTCCTTCTCCTTTTCTCCTCCCGAGAAGGAAAATAAAATTCATATTTAAAAAGTTTTTTTTAATAAGAAAATTATCCTCTAAATTATATGTATATTTATAGTAGTTTTTGAGATATCAATTTATAACATTTTGTTCAATTTAACCTCTTGTATATAGAAATACAATTTTATAAAAGTTGCTATAACTATAAATTATCTTTTAATTTTATAAAAAGTTGCTATAACTATAAATTATCTTTTGTTCAAAACTAGAATTTTTTCGGGCATAATTAAAACTATATAATGGATCATATATAACAGCTTTTAAACTCTTTAGCTTCTCTTTTGAGTTTAATTATAACACGTATATTGCATGTGATAAGAAATGCAAAGAGTGATGAGATATTAAATGTGTGATAACGTGTGATAGAGACTCAAATGTATTTACAGGTGGACCAGAAAAACTTGGAAATAATTATATCAGTCAGCTAGCACTGCTCGACACTGCCAATTTCTCTTCTGGTGAGTTTATAATGAAATAAATATATTTGTATAGATACAATTTATTTACGAATTTTTAATTCTACAAGAATTTTAAAGGATAGATTAATTAATTATTTAATGAACACACAATTGATGTAACATACAACTTATCTATATTACTCGATCCTGCAATTGTTTTACTGTGCGTTCTCAATCCGAATTATATTTACATCTTCGAAAAATCAAACGCGATAAAACATCAAAGGAAATATACTATATGTGACTCCATTATTAAAAAAATAATTATTAAAGAAATAATTATTAAAGAAATAATTGTTTGTAAAGATAACGATCTTGGATACTTGATCGCTATAACGATAATTTATAATTTAGCTTTCTCTTCCATTCTTAATTGATTAAATAAATATATTACGTAAAAAAATATGTTTTGGAGAGCATCTTACTTTATCTTTTTAAATTAATTTTAAAATAAATAACGCCATATATAATAATTTTAAATTTATTATATATATATATATATATATATATATATATATATATAGACAATAATTGTCTCGGGTTCGATTCCCGATTCAGCGACTTTCGGATTTATATTTTTCTCTCGCATTTATTTCCTTAGGGGGGAACAGGGGATGTATGGAATTAAATCTCTTGTAGAGATTATTCCAATTTTAAATCTTGGCCGTGACCAAGTAAAATTTGGTGCCTTGTGCACAGGTATTTAATTCTAACGAAAAAATTTAGTTTCGTTGGGATAACGCACTGTCATCCGCGATTTGGCTCTTATTGTCTGTCTTACACTTTAAATTTATATTTATATTACAGAGCCTTGTTAAACTCTTAAGATAATAATAGATCTATAATATAATTTTTTATATTGTAAACATATAAAAAAATATTATATAACCACAATAAAAATAGGATGTATTATTTGTTATATTATTTGTTACTTTTATTTTAGCAGCCATATCTTGTGTTTACTGGAACTATAATGAACAACAACAATCAAAGAAAATATCCAAACAATCCTCGGCAAAATGCGAATGTAATCTCTATCCTTACTTATTGGTGAGTAATCAAAATTATATTTATTAAAAATATACTTGGAAAACTGACAATTAATAAATAGGTGGACTCGAAAAATTTTTCGAATTGGCTACAAAAAGGATTTGGAAGAAACCGACATTTATACCACGCTTACACAAGACAGAACTAGCCATTTAGAAAAGATTATAAGCAAAGCTTGGAAAAACGAAGTAGAGTCGTGTGCCAAAAAGAAAATGACTCGAATTGTAAGCCACAATTACTAAGAGTGTTATTGCACTGTTTTGGAAAACCATTTTTATTAATTGGATTAGCAAAAGCAGTAATGGAATTATTTTCTAGGTATGTTAATTTCGTAATAAATGAAAACAGACACTTATTTATATTGATTCATGTTATTTAATTCATGCAATTGCATTTCGTATTATTAAAAAATTAAATTTGAATTTTAACTTTTTTTCTTTTTTAATAAAAGCCATAGCAAACAGAATATATCATAAATTACATAAATATAATTGTGTAATATAAATTATACAAAAAATTATACAAAAAATTATTTTAAAAATCTTTGTACATTTAACATATAAATATAAAAATAAATTATATAAGTTAATCTGGCGAGTAAAATATGTTTTTACATTAATACTTTAATCATTCAAAATATTATAGAGTATGCCAACCATTGTTACTTGCAACATTGTTACGCTATTTTGCAAGCAATAAAGAAAAATGGGGTAACGAAGTGTATTACAATGTAGTCGGTCTAATTCTATTGTCTATTCTGGATACTTTTATTATACATTATACTATGCATTATACCATGCATATAGGACTGAAGATGAAAATAGCATGTACTGCATTATTGTATAAAAAAATATTGAAACTCTCCACTTCTGTGCTTGATAATGAGACCTCTGTTGGACAGGTATATATGTATAAGTCAAGTACATAAATTTTTAAAACAATACAGAACAAAAGAAAATCTCGGTATAAATAATTAATCTATATATGTATTATGTAAATCTGATGAATTCTATAATTTTATTTTATATACTTCATTTTTAGATGGTAAATTTTCTGAGTACTGATATTACCAGATTGGAAACATCCCTATGGGATCTACATTACATTTGGATTGCGCCTATTCAAGTCATATTGATTACGTATATTATATTTTCCGAAATTGGATGGGCAGCAGTTGTGGGAATGTCAGTATTTTTATTATTTATTCCTCTTCAAGGTAAATTTTTTATCCAGATTTTTTAAATCGAGCGCAAATTCGTAATATATTCAAAATAAAATTAATTCATTTATCATTTATAATATTATGGTTTTTGGTCTATCTCATTGTAATTAAATTATACATAAAAAACGAATAAAATAATATAAAAAGTTCGGCCAAATTTCGATTTCTCATAGGCATAAATTGTCAATTATCTTTCAATACAATTAAAACTTATTATGAATAGATTCAGAATATATAACTATGTAAATCGAATATGAATATATTTATGTTCATATATTTATATTTTTAACAAAATAGTACGTAATAGACCTGTGTTTGTATAATTTGTTTACATTTATGTTACATTCAAACATTCTTCAAAAATTTATTTAATTTAACAATTTAATTACATTTGTGTCATATTTCCGTGCCATATTTCCTGTTAATGCTAATTCTAGTTAAAAAAAATATTTAGTTAATTTAGATTTTTAATAGTATTCTATTTTACCTACATTGTTTCGGTAATATTTTCTTACTTTATGAACATAATATAAATATTATTATAGTATATTAAATGGCATTTATTATTTCAGCGTTTTTTGCAAAAAAATCACACCTTTAACGCTTAAATCAGCAGAAAAATCAGATGCTAGGCTTAGACTAATGAATCATATAATCACTGGAATACAAGTAATTAAAATGTACGTTTGGGAAATTCCTTTTTATAATCTTGTGGAAAAAGCAAGAAAGTAAGTACGCATTAAATAATTTATTAATAACATAACATTTAAGATCACTTTAAATTTTAAATCTATTTAAAAAATCAAATACTGCTTAATTAAGTTTAAAAAATCATGAATTTTATTCATGTTTTTTATATTCGATCAAGGATACTGTTTTTTCTGTGTTGCAATGCATGTATAAAATTATTTATACATTGCATGCATAGAAATATATTTATTAATTACGTAATTCATAGATAATAAAAATATATATTTTTAACAGAAAACAAAAAAATATAATTTTCTACAAGAATGTAGGATGTACTAATCTGATGAAAAAAATAGAAAGAGACAGACTGCACATTGCCCGAGTCTGGCCGCTGACTGCAAGACACTGAGCAGTAGTGGTTTCGCTATTTGACGGCGATATCTAGCTTCACAATCAATAATGAATCGGGTCCGACGAAAGCAATTCTCTCTTTCTATTCTTTCCATTAGATTAATACACCCTATACATCTACAGTGCTGCGCGGTTCACGCGCGACTGATTCTCGTGCGGGATTGCGGGATATCGCGAGCGCGCGATCGATGGTCACATGACTAGTGGTCACATGACCAGTGAATCTACTGGTCACGTGACCTCGGCTTTGCGCTCGCGATACCTCGCACGAGAATCAGTCGCGCGTCAGCCGCGCAGTATGATAGATGTACCTGTATAGGGTATGGAGTCTCGCGCGAGTTTTATTTATTCGTTATCGTATTTTCTGATAAAGATTTAAATATTGAATTTTTATGCATTGCTAAATAATTAATTAATATATTTTTTATGCATTGATTGCAATAATGACTTATGTATGCATGCGTCGCAATTTTTGAGATTTTATTATTAAAGACTAATATAAATTTGCCTTGCGTGCGCATAATTATATTCGGTTAGGGTTAGATTAAACGAAATGATACACACACACACACACACACACACACACACACACATATATATATATATATATATATATATATATATATATATACAGTATATATATATATATATATGCTACATAAAAGTATTTAGCAGATTTGTTAATACAGTAAAAAGTTACAAGTAAAAGTAATTGTGTCGACTCATAAATCAAACTCAGTTTTGTTATCAAGTTTAATTATGATAGCAAATTATCGTTAGTATATACATGCCTTTTTTAGAAAAGGAATCAAAGACAATCTATTTTTTTTTATATATTTAATATCATCAACAAATTAAGTTTTAGATTATAAATGCATTAAGAAATAAAAGAAAAAACTCAATATTCTCTCCTTTCAGTAATCAATTTGTATCTTTTAAATAGAAATGTTATTAATTGTCATAGTTTTAAAATTACGGATCGTAACTTGTCACGACCGTATTAAAACAAATTGTTGAAACTTTTATCATTTTCAGGCGTGAGATGAGCGTGATAAAAAAATATTCTATTCTAAAACAATTATCTCTTACTCTTGATTGTTGTGTACCACGACTCTGTCTCTTCATCACAATACTGGCGTATATCTTATTTGGAAATTATATTAATCCCGAAAAAGTATACTTAGTAACAGCATATTACAATGTTTTACGAAACTCAATGATTTTTGGATTTGCATTTGGTAAGATTATTGATGTAGGATAAAAATGGATATTTTTTACTTGAACTGATTTCATGTTTTTTCTTAAATATCAAAAGCTATATTGAAGATAGCATATAGAATAAAACTGCTATTAATAATAAAGTACAGAAAAATGCAAGAAAATATTCATAAACTTTTATTAAAACCTTTATTTTATTTATCAAAATTATGACCAATGATAATTTTATTTAATAAACCATAAGACACAAATCGATAATTCTTAAGTTACATAAATTAAAGATAAAGAATAATTAATTGAAGATGAAAAATTTTTTACGGCAAAATTCAAAAGAGAAATATTTTAAATGTAATATTTTATAGGTCTCCATCAAATAGTACAAGCACTGGTTTGTATTCGCCGTTTAGAGAAATTTATGATGCACACTGAGATTACTAAAAAAAAAGAAGAGAACCCACATGAGACGATTAAAGAATCGTTTGCACTTCGTATGATCAACTGTAACGCTAAATGGCACAGTGATAATAAGGGATATACGTTGCACAATGTGAACTTAACTGTACTTCCTGGAAGCTTTGTGGCTATTGTTGGTCAAGTAGGTTCAGGGAAGAGTAGTCTGTTGCAAGCGATACTCCAGGAATTGCCCTTGATGAGCGGAAGTATCGAAAGTCATGGCAGAATAAGTTATATCAGTCAACAACCATGGATTTTCGCGTCTACCGTGAAACAAAATATTCTGTTTGGACAAACAATGGACAAGTCACGTTACAATGAAGTAATCAAAGTCTGTCAAATGGAATCAGACATAGATTCGTTCCCTCGGGGTGACTGCACTATTGTAGGCGAAAGAGGAATAAATTTGAGTGGTGGCCAACGCGCCAGAATCAATTTAGCACGAGCAATTTACAAAGACGCCGATATTTATCTCCTGGACGATCCCCTATCTGCCGTGGATTCGCACGTTAGCAGGCGTCTTGTTGACGATTGTATCTGCAGCTACTTAAAGGTAAAAATTGTAAGACAAAATAAAATAGTTCGATACAAATAGATAGTACAGTGATAAATTTTCAATCACTAGAACTATCAAGTTTCATATAATGTTTTATAAAATTGCTATAAAATATATAGAATTATTAAATATAGATACTTATTAGAAGAAAAACGGCTTCGCAACCGCACCTAACTCTTAATATAGTCTATCTTTCCTTAGTTAGATATTAAAAATTTTTATTTATTATTTAGGGGAAAACAAGATTTCTAGTGACGCATCAACTGCAATTCTTACAACTCGCTGATCAGATTATTGTAATGAATAATGGTAGTATCGAGCAAAAAGGTACTTTTGATCAGCTTCAAGCATTGGGTCTCGACTTTATGAAGCTATTAAAAGCGACAGAACCAGAATGCAAAAAAGATAAAATTGAACAGCTTGATATGCAGTATCAAAACTCAATAAAAAATGAAATAAAAATCGATGGAGAAGCTTCAAATGTCTCCCTAGATGAAACACGTGAAACAACAATGAAAGGTCGCTTGTCCTTCAAACTGATCTTCGGTTACTTCAAAGCGAGTAAAAAACCTTTTATGATAACTCTTATGATGTCAATCTTCATAATAAGCCAGGCATTAGCCAGTGGTAGTGATTACTTTGTTGCATTCTGGGTGAACGTGGAATCGAATTCATGGTATGAAAATAATAATTCTACGGAGTTTTTATGGAGCGGTCCATTGTCTCGTGATTATATGATGTACATATACAGTATTATGATAGTGATGATTATATTACTATGGCAAATTCAAACAATCATATACTTTACCGTATGCATGTGGTCATCAGTAAATCTACACTCCGCCATGTTTCGCAGCATTTTGCGCGCTACTATGTACTTCTACAACATAAATCCAACTGGTCGTATATTAAATAGGTAAATACAGACAAAATAACGATTAATAAAGCTCTCTTTTTTAATTACAGAAAATATTTTTTATTAATTTTTGACACTTGACATATTGTGTAACAAATTGACAATAATTGTCTAATTTAACTTAAAAAAGTAAAATATTGTCATTTTAATTATAGGTTTGCCAGAGATATTAATATTGTTGATTTAATGGTATCGATGTGCATATTTGACATCATAATTATCGGACTTATCTCAGTTACAGTAATAATTATGATCGTAGCAATTACCCCATGGTTGGCAATACCCTCTTTTGTTTGTACCTGTGTTTTTATCTTTTTACGTATGATATACGTCCGTACATGTCGTAGTATCAAACGTCTCGAAGCAACAAGTAAGTCAATTGTACAATACTTATAAAAGACAATATTTATAATCGACAAATAATTACAGATTCAAACAATTATGGATCCTTAATTAAAGAATCTTTTTTTTTTTGCAAATCAAGCAACAGCGAAAAATTTAAACAGAGACATACATATACATATACGTATATGTATATTTTAATTAATATTTTTTTAATTAGTATTTCTCTAATATAAATTAAAAATTAATAAATTATATAATTACTTTGTCGTTTATAATTACTTCTCTAACGGTAATTTATATACAAATAAAGAATAATACACTTTGAATAATGTTTTATTAAATATTAAATAAGGTCGGCTATAAATATTTGTTCATAATATGATAAATTATTATAAATAAGAATTTAATAGAATAAAGAACAACAATTATTTAGCGCGCTCGCCGATCTTTGATCATCTCACTGCATCTCTGCAAGGATTAACAACAATCAGAGCTTTCAATGCAGAAAATATATTGATGGCAGATTTATGCAGTCATCAAGATCTCCATTCGTCTACCTGCTTTCTCTTCCTAGCCACATCTCGAGCTTTCGGCTTCTACATCGATCTGATCTGTCAGATATATATTGGAGTGATAATTATAACTTTCACGTTCTTCAAAGATTTAGCAGTAGTTGGAAACATCGGTTTGACGATCACACAAATCATGTCGTTGACAATCATATTGCAGTGGGGAATTAGACAATCGGCTGAACTAGAAAGCCAATTGACCTCAATAGAGAGAATTCTTGAGTATAGCCGATTGGAAGAAGAGCCGATGATCGATAATAAACCAACAGATACCAAACTACCGGACAATTGGCCAACGAAAGGAAATGTAGTATTTAAAAATGTAAATTTGAAATACAATCATCAAGGAGAGTACATTTTTAGAGATATTAGTTTCACTATCCTACCGAAAGAAAAGATCGGTATCGTCGGCAGAACCGGCGCAGGAAAATCATCTCTGATTAATGCTCTCTTTCGTCTAGCCTGTGTAGAAGGAGAGATTCGTATAGATGATATATCCACCAGCGCAATTGCGCTGCATAATTTTCGATCAAAAATCAGTATTATTCCTCAGGAGCCATTCTTATTTAGTGGCAGCTTACGACAAAATCTCGATCCTTTCGATCAATATTCCGACGCTACTTTATGGCAAGCTCTACAAGATGTTGAATTAAAAGAGATAATCTCAGAGATGGCTGGCGGATTGAATACGAAAATATCCGAAGGAGGATCAAATTTCAGCGTAGGCCAAAGACAATTATTTTGCCTTGCGCGCGCTATTATCAAGGACAATAAAATTATGATACTGGATGAAGCGACTGCTAACATTGATCCTTATACGGATTTCCTTATACAACAAACAGTTAAAACAAAATTTATAAACTGCACTGTATTGACTATAGCTCACAGATTGAATACTATTATGGATAGCGACAGAATATTTGTAATGGATGCTGGGCGTCTTGTGGTAAGTATAAGTTGAAGAATTAAAACATAATTTCAGTAATTTTAGCGATACAATGTCATTTTCCTTTCTCTATATTCTGAAAGATTCTATATATATTTTAGGAAACTACACATTACTAGCGCGCGCTTCACGCGCTTCTTTGATATTATTTCTATTGTTTATTTTACAACTGTGAAATTGTTAATCTTTGCAATGACAGTTGCTTGATGCTATGACCATAATTTTAATTAGTCGAATTTCTATTATGTACATAATTTTAATTTGCTGAATTTCTATTGTATTGTTTGAAAACTGTTTTGTATATATGTATCTCTTTATATATTTTTCTTATTTTGTTTAGTTTAATCGAATACAATTACGTGTGCAAAGCGAAGTTACATTATTCTTTGATATTAAAGTCTCAAAAATTGCGACGCATGCATGCAAAAATTATTATTGCAATCAATGCATAAAAATTATATTAATTAATGATACAACTCAGTGAGAAATAATGGTCGAATCGACGTCGATTCGTTGTCGAATCGATGTCAAATTCGTCGAATTGATGATGACTAGTATTCACGTGACAGCAACTGGTCATGTGATCATCGTCCCGCGCTCGCGATACCTTCTATACGAAAATCAGTTTCACGCGAGCCGCGCAGCGTAATAGATGTATGGAGTATAGTCTCGTGCGAGTCTAATGAAAGCGTAGATATATGATCACAAAAGATTCTTATAGAAAATTTTCTTTTTTTGTTTGCATTTTATATTAAAAATTTAAATATTGAATTTTTGTGCATATGCATGCGTCGCAATTTTGAGATTTTATTATCAAAGTATAATATAATTTTGCCTTACGTGCATAATTATATTGAGTTAGGATTAGATTAAACGAAATGATATATATATATATATATATATATATATATATGTTTTTCAATTATTATATATGTATATATATATATATATATATATATATATATATATATACACACATATATGTTCAAATAAAAAAGCATGATAGAAAAATGAGATTTGTTTATTTCAGGAATGTGACCATCCATATATTCTTTTACAACAAAAAGGATATTTTTATAACATGGTACAGCAGACTGGTTCTGCGATGGCTGAAAATCTTATCGACATAGCAACAAAAGTAAGCAAATAGTTAATTTAATAATGAAAATATAATAATTATCATAAAATATAAAATATCCATAGATAAACATTTCATTTATTTTATTTCTGAAGTCATAGTTATTTATTATATTTATCAAAGAAAATCTAAAGTTTAATTTCTTATAAATTGTATATTTATAAATTTTGTTTCTAATAAATTATGTTTGTTTACAGAGCTTTTATGAAAAGGATACATCGCCGTCTAGATAATGTCAATTTTCAATTATGTGCCTTTATCAAAATAATTTTTTGTCACACATATTCATTGATTGATTAATTAATAAAATCAGGTACAATATACAAAAATTTCATCAATACAATCAATCAAGTATAGTACATTTTATATTAATAAAATTATTTTTAATGACTTTCTCTTATGTTTTATATTCTGTTGAACTTTTCTTGTACCCATCATATTCCCAATTTTATATTGCTTTTTAGAAAACTCATAAAAAGAAAAATGTTGGCATAATAAAATAATAAAATATATAAAAATAAAATTTTATGTAAGAAATTAAAGAAGAGGAATATTTATTAAGGAAAAAGTCATTAAAGAATAAAAGTCAATAAAATGACTAATGAAATACCTAATATTATGCCATATAACAGTTAACATCTGACGCCTGGTGATTGGTCGAGATATTAGTATATTTGATGTATATGTATATAAAAATACCGATTTGTATTATAAATCTGTCATTTTAGATTCTAAATGCCTGATATTTAACATAATAATCTAATAGCTAGGTTGCTATTAGGCTGTTATTAGCTATAATTTTTCTGAGCGCATCAATTATCTTACTGTCTCACAATCAAAAGCAGAATCGTACTTTCGTTTTTTATCGTCTATACTTTTCTTCTTCTTATAATCGACATTGTATAGAGAAACAGTAGCAATTGCAAGTGCTTTTAACATTAGATAGTTATTAAATTTCTCAATAAATATACGTAGCAATATTATCCATGATTGTCTTTGCAATAATTGCATATAATGTAATTATTTTTTACTATTTATCAATTAGAAATACTCTGAAAATGATTGAGAGCTTTTGTTTGAGCTTTGATAAAAATGCTTATAATTTATTTGTCATTTTATTGCTTGATACATAACATTTGTTTATAGTAATCTAATTTGTCTGTTATTAATATAAATTTAGTAAAAAATAAATAAGAAGAGAAGATTATAATTATACCTCACTGTTTCTTATAAATCAAATTATAAATATATAATTTTTCATAAATATATTTTGAGAAAGTAAATTTAAAAGAATAGTATTTATATTTTGATTTGAAAAAAATAGCGATATTTTACTTTAATAAAATTTCTACTTTAATGCTTAATTATTAAAATATATCAAAACCAGAATTTAAGAGAAAAACAAGATTTGTTACGATTAATTTGCTCAATTGAAGGGATAATTAGTCAGACTATTATTGTAATATTAATAATTTAAAATTTATAATTTTATACGTTTCTTTTTTCCAAGTATTTTATGATTTATACATATATTTATTGTGACTTTTTATGTGTGATTCATTTTAAATTAATAAAAATATCATCAATGTTAATACTTATTAATATCATCGCAAAGTGTATCTGTATATTACTTATCTAGATGACAATATCTTAGATTATCAGATCGCATTGGATCGATTAAGTTATGTATGATCGATGGATTGTCCACTTTTTACATAATAAAAATATTCTTATTTTTGTTTTACACATCTTATAAACAAAGATATTAGAATGCAAAACTCAAATTATAAATATTTTTATCAAAAGACATAATAGGAAAAAAGCATAATAAAATATGTATAAAAATCAATTGATACAAAATTTCGCTCGTATATTGTAAATACAAAAAGTGATAAATAAAAAGGCCAACTTATCGAGCAATTATTAGAGTTGTTTAGTCAAATAAAATTTATTCTATGTATAAACTATTAAACATACTAAAACTTAAGTAAAAATTACAATCATTATAAAATAATAAACGTTTCAACCGCACGCGGTCTTCGAAAATTTACTATAATACGTTACTATAATATTCGTATTAAATATAACATTTTTATGCATTGCATAATTACTTAATATATTTTTTTGCATTGATTCCAACAATAATTTTTATACATGTGTTGCAATTTTCAAGATTTTATTATGAAAAAATAATATCGTGCGGATTTACGATCCCCCGCACTTGTTAGCTAATATACTATTATGTGGGACATTTTAGATATGTGGATATACTATATACTTTTTATTTCGTTACTTTAACCGAATATAATTACGCGCACACGCAAAGATATATATTATTTTTTCATAATAAAATCTTGAAAATTGCAACGCATGTATAAAAATTATTGTTGGAATCAATGCAAAAAAATATATTAAGTAATTATGCAATGCATAAAAATTTTATATTTAAATCTGTAACAGAAAATTGCAAAAATAAAATTTTCTACAAGAATCTTTTGCTCAAAATATACTTTTATTAAATACGCGCATCTCCTTACGTCCGGCACGCTGCAAGGTCTGCGCGTGACTATGTGACCATCAGTCTCGCAATCGCAATAGCTCGCACGAGAATCAGTCTCGCGCGAGACGCGCAACATGACGGACGTGTAGAGTGTACTGAAGTTGGATCTCGCCGTCAGGTGGTGATATTTCTGCTCAAAGTTTGTCTTAAATTGCGGTCAATCAGTCAGTCTCGCACGAGACGTGCAGCGTGGTGGATGTGTGGAACACGGCGTCTAATGGAAAGGATAAGAGAGGTCTTCACCGGATCCAGTAAGTGCAGTTCATTCATAACTTCGAAGTTGGGTTTCATCATCAGGTGACATTCCTACTCAGAGCTCGGGCTCTGAGTCTTGCCTTGAGGTCAGTCAGTCAGTCTCGCGTGAAAGGTGTAGCGGTAGATCTGTACAGATGCACGAATTTAATAGAAGCACAGATAATTCGATCGAAAAACTCTTGTAGAAAATTGAATGGTATAAAGAATTTTATTATACAATTTTACTTTTTATATTGCAGAAAATGATTTATATTTGACAAGATGTTTTGTACAATTATATGAGAGAGATTTTATTTACTAAACGATTACTAATAGCATTAACTACATTGCATTGTCAATTCCAATTAATTATGAAGCATAATTAACCATTGTAAAACCAGAGTCTCGATTGATTTCAATTGTCTAAACATATAGATCGTCATTATATATAGCATTGCATCTTTCCTGAGTGAGAGTATATGGAATGCTTCTAAATTTTATTTGCATGGTAAGTGTATGTTTAAGATTTATCTCGTGTTATATAACCTGGTAATAAATCTAGAGCAAACTTTCAAAGTCGAATGTATATTAGTTTACCAATACGAGACATCGTGAAATTTAAATTTTCTCTTATATAGTATGTATACACAACTATTATAATTAACTAATTTATATATATTTTTATGTGTAAAATTTATTTTATAATTAAATTTCTATATAAAAAATAAAGAAAATAATATTAAAAAATTGAGCCAATAGGGAATATAATGCACATTCTTTTATATATTCTGTGTCAATATTGAAATGTTTTATATAAAATTACATACTTTTCTTTAATAATGTATAACTGTATTTTACTTAAGCAGTTGTGATTGTATTTTAATATAATTGTGCTACATATACACAATCTACAAAAAAATATATTTTTAGATAAAGAATTTTTCAAATTATAATATCTAGCAATAAAGATATATATAAGAATAAACAATATTGTAATTATAAAATCATTATGTAAAAAAATTGATGTCGTCTATAATAAATGAACGAGCGACTCTCAGAAAAATAGATTTTGAGAGTTTGAAGCTCGTTCAAGAAAAAATTAATATATATTAATACATATTATAATATAAATTAATATATATATTATAATAATAAATTTATTTCTAAGTGTATTTCTATTTGTATACAAATTTATTTTTATATTGTACGTTTATAACTTTTTTATAATTCTTCATAACAGAGTTCGCAGCATTGACAAATATGCCATAGAAGTTTTGATAACCTGCATTAATGTGGATTTAATTGTTACATAAATTTTAATTAAAAATTATTTCTTAATTAAGAAATCTATAAAGTTAAAAAAACTTATTTCTAAATTATGTCAAATTAAAAGAATTTAGAAAATAGAAAATGTTTATATAGATATAGAATTTGTGTTAAAAATGCACAGAGTAACCGAGTAAATTAATTTCTAAAAGAATAGATTCAAGGCAATTTAAATATAAATCATCTTTAATTATGATAATAAAGATAATTATAACACTATAAAATAAAAATATAAAAAGCAAAAAGGCAAATAATAGTCGTAATACGGGAAACACAAGTGCAAAAAAAATGATTATATTTAATATATTGATTCCTATAACCGAAAATAAATATATCAAATTTTTGATTGCATTTACTTCTCTTTTTCAGCTTTTATTTGCCTGTTTGTTTCTTATATCTTTATTTTATCAGTACTTAATGTTATATTATTCCCTGTTTTAATTATAATAAATATATAAATATGTTATCGAATTGATAATTTTGGAAATGAAATTTTATGCTTGAAAAGATTATTTAAATACTCACATCTGTAAAACTGTTTAAGGAAAATATGTAAAATCTGGCAGCTGTTAAGTATAGCATAACTTGTCCATGAATCATACATATCAGCAAACATTTCTTGCAACTGAGCGGCATTTCATACCAGTCGCACTGGTAATATGCATCTTGAACATTTATGCACTAAATAAAACAATTAAATGATAAAAATTATGTTTAAAAACAAAAATTTTTATTCAGTCAATAGTTTTTGAGTTATAAAAATTTTTAATTGGCCACAATTTCATATACAATGTATTTTTATTTTTATGCATTAGTGTAATAACGCAAATAATCAAATTTGTTTTTATATGAAACATTTACTTTTACTCTTTAATCACTATGAAATTTTACTTTTTAATATCGACTATCTATATATCGAATATCAAATGTAATTTAAGTTATGCGTACTGTACGCATACGAAATATTTATTCATCAGTTTGATATTATTTATTAATTTCCAACGATACCTGCTGAGTCAATTGGTCACCAATTAAACAGTATCCAAAAAGCATAACAAGCGCAATAATCGCGAAAAATATAAAAGTGCAACAGGTCGCCATTTCTGAAATCTCCAAGTTCTAAAAAAATATATGTTATTTATAAATACATATAAAATGTTTTATAAATTGCAAGCTTGATTTTTGCGATAAATGTTCTGTAAACAATGAAATCAATTTTTTATAGTAAAAAGTTTATAATTGCTATTTTTAATTATTAATTATATGAAAGACTTTAAAGTGCTTATATTTTCACTGAAAAAAAATCATGAGTAAGTTAGATATACAATATAAATATTATTGTAATTTATTTTGTAATAATGCTATTAATTATAATTTTAATAAATTAGATATTTTAAAATAATAATGAAATATTTAATAATATAGTGATACATACTGTTATGACATAGTACATCGAGATAGCTAACACAACACTATTGCCAAGAAGTTCATCCAAAAGAATTAAATTGAAAATATTATCTACAGATTTCGCCATCCTTTAATCGCCATAATATTCCAATAAAATCATGTAAATAAGAATTAAGGCTAAATAATTGTTTTTATTCCATTATTACATATATATAAAGATATAACATTGTTACCATATTATCTTCAGATGTATTCGAACAAAACTACGAATTCTATTCACTATCATATCTTGTGAGTAGGTTTTAACATTTTTGATGCGGTACGATAAAATGGATAGTTCGCCACAAATGTGAAATACTAAAATAACTAATAAACAAATCGCCGCCATGTGACAGATAGAGGCATAAAACATCGGAAATAGATACAAATACATTAATATATATGCATAATTATTACTGATATCAAAAAATGTATGGACCCTATAGGGTAATATAAAAGATTCCGTATTGTTATGTACCGCTAAAAAGAAAGCTATTATAAGAATATAAAAAAGTTATATCTAGTAAAAAATAAATTTGTAATGTATATTTAAATATAGCATATAATAACTAATATAATAAATTATAATAAGAACTTTTTTTATCTATACATATACATATGAATATTATTTTACATTACAGATTCTTTAACCAATATCGATTTAATGAATTAAAATAATTTATATGTATATCTTTAATAATAATGTTTAAAAAAATCTTTAAATATTGTAGATACAATATATATATATATATATATATATATATATATATATAGTTTTACTTTCTATTTTATGATGATTTAATTTTTATATACCTGGATCGCTGCTTGAGAAACTCATTAAAAGCGGTCTAAAGTACAATAACATGACCGTAATGAACATACCGACGATCGAGCCATATGTGAAAATCTTGGACGTGTAATTGTAATTATAATAAATCCTTTCTTCTTCAGAATTTTCAAACTTACGTTCCATCATATCCTTTTTAACGGCATTAATTACGTGCTTCAATAAATTACTACAACGGATCAGCCATACTGCCATAAATGTCATAGTATACGCTACAGTTTCTACGAGATTCATCACCATTAACTCCAAATTACCAAAAACATCATAAAGATCAGTATATGCCATAACGAGATACACCATATAATATGATATATAAATTGCGAAACGAATGTATGTTTGTTTGAAAGGCCATATTCCTCCGACGGAAAAAATACGTTCTAAATGAATAAACAAATCTTCAATGTCGCCGACTTTGGTCTGTAACACAATTTTTAGAATAGAATAGAATTTTTATTAACTTTTGTTGTTAATTTCTTACTTTCATGGTGAATCGAATTGTAGTTATTCATCAACTGATCATTCATAACTGAGAGTCGTTTTGTTGCAAATCACCTTACTTATGTATATGACACGCTTAATCAATTCGCGATGGTCGAGAAATAAAGCCAGACATGCATTTGTATAATGCTATTAGTATTATTATAGTGCTCATTTTATGAATCTGTTATTTTAAATTCTATATGCCTGATATTTAACATAATAATCTAATAGCTAGGTTGCTATTAGGCTGTTATTAGCTATAATTTTTCTGAGCGCAATTATCTTACTGTCTCACAATCAAAAGCAACATTATACTGTTTTTATCCTTTATACCTTTCATCTTCTTATAATCTTCACATTGTGTAGAAAAACTGTAGCAATTGCACAAGTGCTTTTAACATTAGTGTATAGATAGTCATTAAACTTCCCAATAAATATGTAGAAATATTATCCATAATTTTTACAATAATTGTATATGATGCAATTGTTTTTACGTTTTGTCAATTAAAAATATTCTGAAAATGACAGAACTTTTGTATCTGTCACTTGCTTGATCCATTGCTTGATAAATAGCATTTATTTATATTTACTAATCAAATTTGTCCATGAATATGAAATTAATCAGAATTAAATAAGAAGAGAATTAATTATACACTACTTCCTATTTCTTATAAATCAAATAATAAATCTAATTTTTTCATGATTTTTTCGTAAGTATAATTTTAAAAAGTAAATATTTAAAATAGTATTCATACTTTGAGTTGAAAAAATTGCGATATTTTACCTTAATAAAATTTTTATTTAACTCTTAATTATTAAAATATCAAAAATTAGAATTGAAAAAATAAAATTTAAAGATTTATTGCGGTCAAATTTGCTGTCAATTAATCGTAATTAGTCAGACCATTGTAATATTAAAAATTTTTTTATGATTTTATTTATATTTTTTTTGTAAGTATTTTATCATTTATAAATGTATTTATTGAGACTTATTATGTGTAAATCATATACATTTAATATCAGTACATGTAAATAATCGCAAGGTAAATTTTGTATTTGTATATTACTTGTCCAGTTGACAATATCTTAAATCTTAGTTTTTATCAGATCTCAATATAACTGCTGGATCGATCAAATTATAAGTATGATCGATAGACTGTACATTTTTTTAATAATAAAACTATTCTCATTTTTGCTTTACACATCTTATAAACAAAGATATTAGAACGCAAAATCCAAATTATAAACATTTTTATCAAAAAACACTATATAGGAAATAGGCAACATAAAATATGCATTAATGTTACACTTTTTTACACAACAATTTTTAAACAAGTGCGTGAATTTGACGCTTTATTATTTTTTTAAAAAGTAAGTATAATATACTGTAACAACTACACATTTTTTTATATGTATATAAGTATAAATGCCTATAAAAAATTAAAACTATAAGAATATTGTATGATATAAATTTTATGTATAAGAAGCTGTATGGCGTACATATGAAAGATGATCTTTCGATTAAATTTAAAAAATGGAAAATTTATAATATACTCTTATAATTAAAAGCTTTTATAATTTATCTTTGTAAGTCACAAAAAAATATAATATATTTAAAGTATATAGAAAATATTCAATATCAGATGCTTGTATAGAATTTCATATCTGATTGTGTATAAAAATAAATAACATAATTTCTGTTTTTGTATTTTATTTGTATTCTCCATCTCTGCTAGAGATATTAACTTGAATTTTTTTAATCTTATGGGACAAGGTGCCTAAAAATTTGATGGATAAAACATGTTGGGGACTTTTAAGGAACAAAAAAGAAAACCCTCTTAATTTTTTTGAATGGAACGACTTATATAAAAAAAATTATAGTGATTTTATTTTAAAAAAGTAAGGCGCTTCTCTTCTGTTCCTTAAAAGCCTTCAACATTTTTTAATCATGGAATTTTCAGGCACCATATTCCATTTAATTAATTCAGGTTAATATCTCTAATAGTGGCATAGAAAACAGTTTGTAACAATTTATGTGAGACATCCTGTATATGGAAATATACTATACATATATATATTTCTGATTTTGTTAATCTAACTAAATATAATTATGCACCCGAAGCAAAGCTATAGATTATTCTTTTATAATAAAATCTTGAAAATTGCAATATAAAAATTATTGTTGGAATCAATGCAAAAAAATATATTAAGTAATTATGCAATGCATAAAAATTTTATATTTAAATCTTTAACAGAAAATCTTTAACAGAAAAACAGAAAAGAAACAAACAAAATAAAATTTTCTACAAGAATTTTTTGATCAAAATACGCGCATCTTCTTACATGCGGCACACTGCGGGGCCCACGCGAAACTGATCACGTGACCATCAGTCTTGCAATCGCAATATCTCGCATGAGACAGTCTCGCGCGAGACGCGCAGCATGACGGACATGTGGGGTACTGCAGTTGGGTTTCGCCGTCAGGTGGCAATATTCCTGCTCAGAGTCTTGCCTTGCAGTCAGTGTCAGTCAGTTTCGCGCGACGTGTAGTAGGTCTGTACAGATGCGTAAATCTAATGAAAGCACAGATATAGATCAAATAATTCTTGTAGAAAATTGTATTTTTATTTTGTTCTCTGTCAAAAATTTAAATGGAATTTTTATGCATTGCATAATTAATTAACTATATTTTGTTTATTTTTTTATATATTATAATATTTTTATGCGTGTATTACAATTTTTGAAATGTTATCATTAAAAAATAAAATATCTTTGCTTTGCGAGCGTTTGTAATTATATTCATTTAGATTAAATAAAATAAGAAAACAAAAATATACGTACTTATATATATGTATAGATATAGAAAAAGAGGTATATATATATATATATACATTTGGCTTTGAAAAAAGTTTTAATATTATAATACAAATATTATAAGACTACAAAATATATATATATTAGTAATTAAATATTTTCTTTTAAATGTAATTATATTTTTATATTTATATTTATTATAATACAAATTATTAGCTAAATATTCTGCACCAAATATATTAATATTTAGATATCGTATACTTTTATAGTATACAGTTTTGTAGTATAGACTGTACAGGAATATTTTTCTTTTTATCTTATCTTTTTCGGAAAAATAATATTTGGTAATCAAAGAGAATAATGCTATTATAAATTACATGTCAGAACAGTAAGAGCAATGCAAAAGAAGAGAACATTACATGCATATAGTTTATCTGCAATATTTAGGATGAATATTTATATGATTCTTATTTTTGTATTTAAGAAGACAAGAAGAAGGAAAAATGTGTGCGATTGGCTTATTAATTTTGCAAGAAAATTGATGTTATCTATATTCATTTTTCACATACCTAAACGTTATTTAACGGGAAAGTTTATTTCGAAGTAAGTAAGATATATATATATATATTTTGAGTTTCTCAAAATTTACTTACAGAAAATATAAAAACGTAACAAAAATATAAATAAAATTTGTAATAAATAATATTATAATACAGAAATAAAATAATATTTAAATAAAAATAAAAATAAATTAAATCAAAAAGCTCGCAAGATTAATAAATCACAGAATAGAATAAGAGCTGAGAGCCGAAGCCGTTATTATGGTCAAAAATTATTTATTTTAATACAGATATTATTACACAAACGTTTCAGTCTTATTTAGACCATCTTTAGTGTAAAATTAATATTGATACAATGAATAAAAGACGCATATTGTAACAGAATTTGCATACGCAGCTTGTAGGAAAATTATTATCTTTAATTATTTCCAACTGAATTAATGACAAAAAGTGAGACAATAAAAAGTGCAGAGTCAGTTCTAATTTTGTGCTTATGTCAACTAGTCAACAGATATAATCGGTATACAAACTAATTATAACTGTGACTCTGCACTTTTTATTCCATCACTTTTTGTCATTAATTCGGTCGGAAATAATTATAATAATTTTTCTACGAGCTAGTTGCGTATACGAATTCTGTTATAATATGTGTTTTTTATTCATTGTATTAATATTAATTTTACACTGAAGAGGGTCTAAATAAAACCGAATCGTTTGTGTAATAATATCTGTATTAAAATAAATAATTTTGGCCATAATAACAGCTTCGGCTCTCAGCCCTTATTCTATTCTGTGATTTATTAATCTTGCGAGCATTTTGATTTAATTTATTTTTATTTATATTTAAATATTATTTTATTTCTGTATTATAATATTGTTTATTACAAATTTTATTTATATTTTTGTTACGTTTTTATACTTAATTTCTGTAAGTAAATTTTGAGACACTTAATATATATATATATATATATATATATATATATATATCTTACTTACTTTGAAATAAACTTTCCCGTTAAATAACGTTTAGGTATGTAAAAATGAATATAGATAACATCAATTTCTAAATTAATATATATATATATATACAATATATATATATATATATATATATATATGTAGAAAATGTTTAATTACTAATATATATTATATATATATATATATATATATATATATATATAAATATCAAAATTATATGTATATTTATAGCAGTTTTTGAGATATCAATTTATAACATTTTGTTTAATTTATCCTCTTCTATGTATTTAGGAATATAATTTTATATAAAAAGATACTATAAATATTAATTATCTTTTGTTCAAAAATAAGAATTTTTTTATAATTAAAACTCTATACAATTGATCATATACTATGATAGCTTTTAAGCTCTTTAGCATCTGTTTTGAGTTTAATTACAACATGTATATTGCTCAATTAACTCTGTATGTGATAAGCAATGTAAAGAATGATATTAAATGTGTGATAACGTGTGATAGACTCGAACGTAATTGCAGAAAAACTTGGAAATAATCATATCAATCAGCCAGCATTGCTCGACACTGCCAATTTATTTTTTGGTGAGTTTATAATAAAATTAATATATTTGTATATATATAACATGTTTGGATACAAATTTTAAATTCGACAAGAATTTTAAAGTATAGATTAATTAATTATTTAACGAACACACACAATTGA